CTTACCTAAAAACCGGCATGTGTACTGTTTTTTTCAGGTAAGAATACCCCCTTTTATTGCTAATCAATTCCCGGCAACTTTGCCATTTTATCTCGGCAATTCTACCACAGTCGATAAAAAATATTGGCGTTTTTACCAGGAATCAGTGAAATTACCGAGAAAGTCAATAATTTTATCGAGATTTCTCGGTAAAATTACCAATTCCATAAATGGTAATTTTACCAAGAAAAAACCGGGATCAAATAGAACCCTGAATTCTTGGTAATTTTACCCTTTTCTTGGTCAATACACCGATATTTTTTTTTTTCAGTGCTATTGAATATTTTTCAGATAATTGGCGCGTATACGTAGTATACCGCCTTTGCGATCGTTTCGACCCCCCCCCTCGATACAATAACCGAGTCCCCTAGTTCCTTACCGAAAAGTGACTACCGCGAACTTCTGAGATTTTCCAAAGCGTGTAAAAAGTTTACTAATCCGTCAATAATAATGATTAAAATTTGTTTCTCATTCTGGGGCTCGCTAGTTTATGTGTAATGAATACCAAGAGTCTACGTTTCTTGGTTTTTTTTAAAAAAACCTTAGAATGGGGCGCGCTGATTTAAAATATGCATATATAAGCGGAAGCAAGCGAACTGATTCGAGGATGGCTGACCAGTTCGGCACTCCTTGAATGAGAATTTCACTCACTCCGTTTTGTTCACAACGTTGCTTTGACATATCTCCACAACACTGTTATCCTTTTCAAAAGTTGGTACTCCTTGCTCTGATAGCCGGGGCCACCAGGATAGTGGTAAGTGCAATCTGTGATGAGCCTCGAGACTCATTAGACCATTTGCTAAACGTGGCTCATACAGGAGTCCACTAAGCCCTCTCGTCCCCACGCTCCTGATCACTGCGTCGGCGTCACGAAGAACAATGGGCCTTGGGTCCCAACGCGGCCGATACCCGTACCCCAATTACTCACGCTTCATTAACCATTTCACCGTCACGCTAGGATTCATCCAATTTTCAAAAAAAATTGTTTCGCATGTATTTAGCAATTTTTTCCTTACTCTCCGTTAAAACACAAATAAAAAGAGACCTCATTCATAAAAATCGGCCGAATAGAAGAGAAGTTACAGTAATCGAAATCCGAAGAAATCAACAAAACCTCGACTCCTCGATACGAAAAATAAAATGAAGGGGAAAAAAAGAAAGTATAAATTACAATTAAATATAATTGACCTCAAAATTTGACAAACAATTCATTTATATACCTAACGCTGAAAAAACTGGGAGAAATTACAAAAAATTTGCCTCTTGCAAGGGGCTTCTTTGTAAGAATTTTGACCTGAAGACAACGGTCGAATAACAGCAGTACTCCATACAATACACGGTGTGCCTGAACGAGTTAAACATTTTTCATACGTCCAAATCGAAAAATCTTTATATTTTTAACTACAATGTTTCTTGAATCGTTTAAGCAAAAAAAAAAAAAAAAAAAATTCCGTCGAGATTCTGGAACGCAAAGGCGCTTTAAAAGTATTCTGGGGCTATAATAGCTAAATCACCGGTAGTAAATTCGTTATATTATTAAAAAGAAATTGACTCCATAGTTTAATTCCTTAGTTTCTTGAATACGATTATTTTAAGCACTTAAACATTTATACCACCAATTTTAGCCATGGGGTGATTTCCTGAGAGCCGATAATATCACGAATTTCTCATAGAACCCCTCAACAGTGGCTTGCTTTTTTGGCAGCCGATTCGGCCATCGAACCGGAGTTTAAATGGAAGCTGATAATAACCCAAAGCTCTGAGAAAAATTTTGAGATGAGTATAAGAACGGTTTGTTGTAAGTAGCGAGGAGAGGCGGGCAAAGCGGCTAAAATCCTATCTAATTTTTACAGTTTTTCTGTTGAATTAATGTTGCCGCGGGCTTCTGACTGTCCACACATAGTTCTGTTCAGCATATCGATACATAAGTATTTACATTTTACATACGTAGAATCTAATTTTCACGTCGGGGAGTTGACATATTTTGATTTTTTCGATTTTATACGGAAAATTGATGGTTTTTCGGGATTGAAATTATTATTGTTTCATGAAAAATAAATGCACCCAAAATGACTATAGCATATTGATTCTTACACATTTGCACTCACAAAATTGGTTGGTAAATTCAACGAGTGGGTGCATCGACCTGGTATATCAAGTTTCTGCAATTTTTTACGGCAAATCAGTAGATTTTCGGGATGTAGATTGCTTACTTTCAATTCATGAATGAATAAAGCAACGACATGGTTGAACTTCTTTGCATGGAAAGACGTTTAAAATAACAAAATCAAGACGTATTTAATGCAATTGCATTTATATCGAGTCAATTTCTTTTCAATAATATAACGGGATTTTTACTACCGGTGATTTGGGTATTTTAGCCCCAAAATACCTTTAAATCGACTTTATCTTCTAGGAGTTCGACAGAATTTTTCCTTTCTTCGCTTAAATTATTCCGTAGCACTTTTCTTCAAGAATCTGATAAGATTTTGCTTGAGGCAGATCAAAAAACTTAAATTCGATCGAATAGCTTTCTACTTTCACAATACACGGTCTCGTCAAGGTGCGTCTTTGACCTCGCAGTGTTGGATCGTGAATTCTCTTTTTATGCTGTTTGCCTATTTTGAAATCTCTGTAAATGAAAACTAAAGGGGTTGATATGTGCGAGTTAATGACGCGCCTTATCAACACATTGTGTTGGAGTTCACTGCTTGTTTTTCAGATACTCTTACTAGCAATTTTAACTGAAGTTCTTGCAAATTTCAAGGGAAAATATTAATAAATTCCCTCGATAGTTAACTTTTCATCGAAGGAAATTCGGCAACTTTCGAATGTTCATACGGCGTTTTTCCTAAGCACGGCAGTACTGACCCTTGACTTTTCCGCGGATTTAAGACGGTTTCCCGTCGTTGAGCAGTTCGATTCATCATTCGGTGCATCTGAGCCCGTCGATTAATAACGCTGCACGACCTAATACCCCCACCCCCTCCCACCCCCTCAACGCTCCCCACAACACCCCTCCCACTCCAGAACTCATGGGAACGCTCCAGCGCGATTTTCAGCCCGTTTCAGCGTGAAATTCAGCCCCGACGCTTCTAATTACGCGAGACGGGGATTGGAATCAGCAAGACGGTGCATATCTCGCGGGCACGCGGTTTTTAATACCGCCAGCCCTGTCGAATCTCACGTTTATCCCCGGCTGATTTGTGGAGTAATTTTGATTTTACCGTGCGATTTGGCAATGCTGTCACCGCGATGCCCGCGTGTGGACATTCCTTCTCTTAGAATCCGCCCGCTGAGTTCGGATGGTCTGCTTCGCCGCGCGATTTTCCGGAATTCCGCGGCTGAGTCGGTACCGCCTGCTAAGGAAAAACAGCGTTTGAGCTTCCGAGTTTAGTTGCCAGATTTTTCCCCATAAATATTGAATATTAGATAAAGTGACTAATAATTATTCCATGAAATTCTTGAATATGTTTGACCGAATTGCATTTTAATTCGCTGAAAATGTTGAACGGACAAATTTAAAAGTTTTTCAGGAAGATCATATTTTATTGGACGTTGACAAAATTGCTCATATGACGTTTTTCCTCATATGGCAGAATAATGCCCGCTCTAACGTAATGACTTCAATTTTCCTCCATCGAATTTTTCACAGAATCTTGTTTTCAATTAGATGTAGCGTATACAAACATGTCAAAGGAAAACATGAACAGTACCTCAAAAGAAAATATTTCAGGCAGAGCTAATTTTCTATTGATAAAAACACGAATTGTGTAGAAAACTTGTGAAACTGCGTTTTTCCGTTCATTATTGAGATTAAAAATTTTGATCTGAAAATTGAAAATTCCTAGGGAAAATATTCATAATTTTTCCCAATTACGAACATTTCAAAACTTCTGCAAATCCCAGAGAGGTTCATACAACGTTTTTCCGTAACACGACGACGGTGCACGCATCAACAAGCTCAAGATAGACCAAACGTCAACCTACCACCTCGTCGTTTCCTGAATGAAGGAACGTAACTTCACTGTAAGGTTGCAAAATTGACTCCAAGAATTCAGTTTTTTTACAAAAATGTAGCTGCGCTGTTTTTGTAAAAAATCGGTCTGATTTTTGCATGAGATCAGAGGAAACATTAGTGACAATTTCCGTCACAAATGCCAAAGATTCTTCTGGTAAAACTGAAATTTGAGAGGGGAAATTTGGCAACACTGAAAGGTAGTTACGATCTTTCAGGAGGAAAACGATGACTTGAGAGGTTGGTCCAGTTCCTTCGGAATCGACGAGCTGGGGCTTTTCTTTGCACGGTCATTTTCTTACATTACGCCGGGAAAATTCTCTTTTGGTCCTCTCAACTTTTTAACAAGAGAGATTTGACAATGCTTAATGCGAGTTCATCTTATCTTGAATGTGTCAGCGAGTAGTATCAGGCAGCGTAATAACCCGTGTTGTGACAAAAATAGCTTTCATTTCCATACAAATGTGAAGTTATAAGGAGAATTACTCTCTTGAATTTGAAAAAAATTTTGGGTCCCAAAAAAATACGGAATCAAAATCATAATCTAAGAAAGAAGAATTTGTTTTAAGGATCAACATAGGTCTTGCTCTGTGAGTCGCGCGGAAATTGAAATTGTTATTCTAATCGTTTTATCATGCGACGATGTCATCAGGAAACATAAGGAATATCGGTCATGCACAATTCCTACTTTCATGCACCAGGAAATTCTGAGTGTTCGAAGCATTTTTCAAACCTTTGACTCAATTTATTCTATAACTTGTTAAATCAAACTTAGAACGATTTATTTGCGCAAAAAAACTGGAAATTTCATTCGAAAATCAGGAAAATTCAAAATGAATTTTAGTAGACATGCGACCTGATTGCCCTCTGTGTTAACCAATCCAGCTTTACCTGAACCGTGTTCTAATTATTCGTTCTAATTTGAGTGGAGCGATTGATTTACCTTGATTAAGGCCAAAATTTGCGGACAATCCTCTCTCACGGCTTTGCGGATGATTAATCCATTAACGGTCTCCATGCTGAGCTCTATCCAACGGGAACACCGGGCACAACACAAAACACAAAGCCGATGAATATTTCACGAAACCAAAAACCGGCGCGGAAGCGGCATGCGGCACTCGAAACGTGTCGCCGTGCTTCGCTTCGAGTTCTCGTTGTCGCTGTTACCGCGGTGAACTGCCGGACCCGCGATGAGCTCCCACACAAGTGAACTGGTTTTCATCTCCAACTACCGAGCCCACGCGGAATTTTAAAGTAGGCACCGTTGCCAAATCCACCATAAATTTCCAAATAATATTACGTAACTACTTAAAATAATACAACCCAAGTGGCACTGCGGGCCGATTATTGAAACCGATAGACAAAGCGATAGACGAAGAAGACATAGGGAGTATGGAGCGATCCTATTGGTTGACATGGTTGGTTCCTATAGGCGAAGGAAGAAAATTATGGTCTAACTGGCAGGTTTTTGGTGGGTTGCCGTTAGTCAGTCCATTACTACCTCCTACGTCCATTGCCACCATCCCCTTCCACCAATAGGATCCCTCCAAATCCCTTTTGTCATCTTTGTCTATAGTTTATTCTATCAATTTCAATAATCGGCCCGCAGATCGCGATAAGTTGTGATTTAATCGGAGAACGTATCGTCACCTTCCGGCCAAAGTATCACAAGCGCCATGCGACGTTTCAAAATTATCGCCGCCATTTTATTTTTTTTACAGAGCGATTGTTGGTTCAATCTGTTTGAAAATTTAACTGAATTTTATCGGCAGCACGAAGAAAAATCGGTGAAATTTTCGGACAGCTCCCTTGAAAAATTTCTCTGCAAAAAAATAAAATGGCGCCGGAATTTTTTAAACTTCGTGTGGCGCTTGTGATACTTTGGCCGGAAGGCCTTTGCAGGAAATATGGCAACGTCTGAAGGTTCATACGGCGTTCTTCCGTAGCACGGGAGAACGTCAACTCCGCTTCCTTTGAAATAAAAACCCTTTCAAAAATAAACGTTTTACGAAAGGGTGTGAAGTTTTTTCGCTTTCTGACGAGACGAACTTGAAACATCCTCTCTCCGACTAACCGAGTTTGCTTTCAAGTTAAGAGACGAATCTGATTCGTCGGTAATCGCACATCGGAACAACACTGCCGTGCTAGGGAAAAACGCCGTATGAGCCTTCAGATGTTGCCAAGTTTCCTTCGATAGAAACCGAATTTACTGGAAAATTTTTGAATATTTTTCTCCCAATTTTTTTTATAATATTGTTCGCAATTTCACCTACAGTTCCTGAAAATTTCAAGGAAAAATATTCACAGCTCGCCTCAAAAATAAACATTTTATCGAAAGAAATTTGGCAACTCTGGAATGTTCATACGGCGTTCTTCCTTAGCATGGCAGAGCAGGAGGCGCCGGAAAGGAAGACGAGGACGAAGAGGAGTAAAAGAAACTCGGGAACCGTTGAAAAGTGTAGCCGGAACGGAAAGCGGGAAAGTTTGGGAAAATCACTTGAAAGTTCGGAGACACGAGTGGAGGCTCAGAGTCGAAGCAAACTGTTTTCAATTGATTCCTGGAACGGAGCCGGCTTTTTCTCCGGAGAAGTTGGCGCATTTTGTTCATTCATCGTGCGTTACTGCAACTATGTTGGACGTGGCGCACTCTCGGAATTTTAAAACAATGGCTTTTTCAATGGTGGTTCAACTTGGAGAGGTTTTTAATGAGACATCGTCGAAGCGTATAATGGCATCCCGGGCCGGATTTACCTACTTGCCGCCCATGGGCCGCCTGTATTTTGCCGCCCCCTTCTCATTCGTTTTGAAATATCGATGAAAACTATCAAGTGAATGTGCCCGAGGAGGAGGGGTGCATAAGACGCGTTTACTTACTCGTGTTGGATACATTTTTTGCGAAAGCCCTGTCAACACTACTAGCAAAATTTCACGGAACTTGACGCGAAAGTTAAGTTCCGAAAACCTATCTCTGTGTGGAAAAGGTCCACCATTTATAAGAAATGAACCAGAAAATTATGAAAGAACAAACATAAATGTGGTTTAATAATTTTAACTTCCGCCGCTGCGTCGCGCTGATCGCTCTCTGTTTGGCGCAATGCGTGAAGTATTCCTGGAGTCTTGTAGGCGCTATGCGTTTCACGCCAACCGCTCCTGACCGCACTGTGTTTGACGCGATGCGTGAAGTATTCATGCAGTCTTGTAGGCGCTATGCGTTTCACGCCAACCGCTCCTGACCGCACTGTGTTTGACGCGATGCGTGAAGTATTCATGCAGTCTTGTAGGCGCTGATATGTGTTACATGCCGACCGCTGCGCCGAGGGCTTGTCCTTTTCATCTCAAGTCCTCGTCATCATTCCTCTCTGTGCTGAGCTCCAGGCCAAATTGCGTGTTTAGTTCCTCTCTTAACTCGACTAATTAATGATGCTGTCTCTTGTATCACCGAAAAACGACAAAATTAGAAATTACTAAACCCTCAGGAAAATGAGATTTAATTCCCTTTTCTCATGGATAATTTTTTTTTTCTGAATCCGATTTTTTTTATACTCACATTTAAAAAAAAATGCAAAATTTGCGGCCATGGGCCGCGACCCATGTGGCCACCCTAGGGTGCGTCAAAAAAAATGAAAGTCTGAAATGTTCCGCTCCCCAGGCGGCAATCGATGACGTTTGGTAAAAAAACATGTTTGCCAAAATTTGGGCCAATTTCAACCATTTTAAATGGTGCCAAAGGTCAATTTTGTGATGAAATTATGATATTTTGGTTTAGACCTCGATTTCGTACAAAAAACTCGATTTTACGCTGAAATCGTGCTTTTACGAGAAAAATGCCAAAGAACTCGACTTGTAGAGGATAAAATTTTACACTAGGAAGACGTCTTTGTAACCGATAAAAATCAAATTGAACTAGAAAAACTCAACTCGGTATTTATTTTTTTGGTCCTCAGAATTTCCGAGGTCTTACAAAGTAGAGGTTTAAAAGACTCATTTTTCACGAAAATAAGTCGAAAGAGGGTATAAATGAACTGTAGGCAAGTGTTGAGGATACAAATGTCATCAGAACTTCCTCAGTTCCAAAAAAATTTCCAACTATTTTGCACAATCCTCGAAAAAGTGTACGGCTCGAGAAGCAGGATCGTGCTATAATAGTAAGGGAAAAGTGCGGTTTGACCGGAAAAAATTGCGTAACAAACTTTCCCTATGTAATCGTCATCAGTAGGTCCCCCTGAACAACTTCCTAAGAGTTAAAAATGGCCCGACCCCGGAATACCCCTCAAAAAAGTTAAAATTGAAAATGGCGGCCGTAATAAGAGGGTCCGGGAAATCGGTATTTTAAAGTGCTCATTCTGTCTCATCATGTGAGGTATCATTTCCTATGTAATTTTGGTCGTAAATTTCATAAATGAATTCCGCAAGGCCCCTTCTGAGCTTACGTTTCTCTCGGTAGTCGTATGTTTCCTTTAATTTCCTTTATTAAATACATTTATAACATCAAATTTAAGTTTCATGGCCATATATGTAAATACATTAAAATAAAGACACTTCACTTTCCTTGTTCCTTCGGTGAATATTTAAAAAAATGCAACCACCTGCCTTTCACATTTGGCCGTCATCTTTGATTTGGAGCGCCCCCTTTGGCCGGAGGGCCTTGTGGAATTCATTTATGAAATTTACGACCAAAATTACATAGGAAATGATACCTCACATGATGAGACAGAATGAGCACTTTAAAATACCGATTTCCCGGACCCTCTTATTACGGCCGCCATTTTCAATTTTAACTTTTTTGAGGGGTATTCCGGGGTCGGGCCATTTTTAACTCTTAGGAAGTTGTTCAGGGGGACCTACTGATGACGATTACATAGGGAAAGTTTGTTACGCAATTTTTTCCGGTCGAACCGCACTTTTCCCTTACTATTATAGCACGATCCTGCTTCTCGAGCCGTACACTTTTTGGAGGATTGTGCAACATAGTTGGAACTTTTTTTGTAACTGAGGAAGTTCTGATGACATTTGCATCCTCAACACTTGCCTACAGTTCATTTATACCCTCTTTCGACTTATTTTCGTGAAAAATGAGTCTTTTAAACCTCTACTTTGTAAGACCTCGGAAATTCTGAGGACCAAAAAAATAAATACCGAGTTGAGTTTTTCTAGTTCAATTTGATTTTTATCGGTTACAAAGACGTCTTCCTAGTGTAAAATTTCATCCTCTACAAGTCGAGTTCTTTGGCATTTTTCTCGTAAAAGCACGATTTCAGCGTAAAATCGAGTTTTTTGTACGAAATCGAGGTCTAAACCAAAATATCATAATTTCATCACAAAATTGACCTTTGGCACCATTTAAAATGGTTGAAATTGGCCCAAATTTTGGCAAACATGTTTTTTTACCAAACGTCATCGATTGCCGCCTGGGGAGCGGAACATTTCAGACTTTCATTTTTTTTGACGCACCCTAGGCCACCCCCTTAATCCGGCCCTGATGGCATCGATAAGAGAAAAAGCAGAAAGGCGTAAAATAAAATAGAGAGCTTGAGAAAGTTACAACACAGTCGGACTTATTTATATTAAATGGAACAATGTGCAAGTGGAAAGATGGGATGTGCTCGTTCGTTAAGGGCCATAAGAATGAACTTTATAAACGCGAGTGACGTCAGCGGCAACGACCCACACCGGGCGGGAAGGGGAGATCTGGCGGGACTTTTCATCCCATGAGCCCTGTCCACAAGGCTCCTGTCACGTGTCCACGGCTCACGATAGAGCGCTCAGTTCACTTTGATTTAATGTAAAATCCCGCATTTCTATTTTCACAAAAGGAACTGTATCTAGTTCTACATTGTTTCTTATGCAGCTTGTACGAGCACACCCCATATTTTCTCTTGCTTTTAGTTCCTTTTAGCATATCAGCTATTGCCAAATGGACGTATTTCTGTCGAACAGAACTATGTGCTGGTGGGAAAGATGGGGTGTGCTCGGTACTGCCGTGCTAAGGAAAAACGCCGTTGTATCATAAAGTATCACAAGCGCCATACTATGTTTAACAATTTTTGCCGCAATTTTATTTCTTTACAGAGAAATTGTTCAACGAAGCTGTCCGAAAATTTCACTGAATTTTCTTCGTGCTGCCGATAAAATTCAGTAAAATCTTCGAACAGATTCAACCAGAACTTTCTCTTCAAAAAATAAAATGGCGGCGAAAATTTTTAAACGTCGCATAT